GAGTGTAAATAATCTTACTTATTTAAATTAATAAGAAAGCATGAAAAGATGTTATATTTTATCTCTTCTTATGGTCTTATAGAAGTTTTAATTGTTGTAGAATCATAAATAACGCAAGACAATCGGAAACGTGATGGGTTGAAGTTCAAATAGGATAATATGCATATTAACCAACAATTTGAAATGAAAAGATTTTAAAAAGTAACCAACAATTTCAAATGTGAAGAGTAGATATGGAAGTTGAGAGGAATATATTTTATAAATTAAATTAAATGTGAAATGCTAGAAAAATGGAATTGATAGTGGAAAAATTCGTGGAGGCTTGTTGCTAAAAATCCCTTCTCAAATTTATATAGATATAGATGTTTTATTGAGTTAATAAAGAGCAGGAGCTTCAAACCTCTTTTTTTTTTTTTATCAACACAGAGAGTGTCCCAACTCTTTTGTCAGACTAATTTTCCTGCCCCGTACACCCCGTCCCTCAAGGATATACGAGACAGTAAGAGAGTCAGAATCAACCACACGACTTGGGTTATTCCATAGCCAGCCAATCTGCGCTCGAGGGCTAGCTCCTAACCTTGTTTGGAAAGTCATTTGTGACCAAAAAATTTCTATATTTTTATGAATTCATTTTTTACTTTACATGTATCAAATCGTTACAATTCAAAAAAGTTTTTATGTTTCAACGTCACTTAACATTTGCTACCTTGTGAATCTTAACAGTAAATAAATAATGGTCTCTCTAAAACCAATGAAATACGAAAAAAAAAAAAGGTGCGCCTTACCATGCTTAACTTTATATTTTTTCTAATAAAGGATACATATATAAACATGAAAACGTGAAATTTTTGGTGTGTGTGGAGACAGATAGTCGGGGAACAGAAATTACGGTACAACCTCAGCTTAACTTGCATTGGTCATTTTCTTCGTCTGTGAGAGAAGTTATGATAAACCTGTACCGTGGTCGCGTGGATGACGATAAAATGGGCCGCTCAAGGACGCGATCTCCAAATCTCGAAAGAATATATACCACATAAATTGGGTCAATTGCGGAGTTTTAGCCATATCATATCCAATAAAAAGAACTTTGCATAATTAAGCACCCTCTGCCCACTTGAAAGTGACTCTTTCTATCACTTTCGAAAAGGAAAAGAAAGATGTTAAATTGCAGGACTTGTTTGGATATGTTTGTATGTAAAAAAAAAAAAATAATTATTATTATATCATAAATACGTTTTTTGAAAATTTCACAGATATAATATACGTTTTTTGTATTAAAAAATTTTTGATAGTTACTTTTCTCAGCCTCAACGTTTTACAAATATTTAAGTGGAAGAAAAAGGAGAAGATATCAAAGAAAAGGCGAAGGGGACCAGACAAATGGAGAGGTCACAATCACGCCTTTATGCCGCTTCGAGAAGGAAAGAAAGGGCAGTCATCCGTGCTACTTGCAGCTCCTGTGACTTCCCTCCATTTGTCGTCGCAATTGCAAATTTGACGTGGTCTTTCAAGAGAATAATTGAACGCTGACAGGGAGAGGCAGGGGGCGCATGGAGAGAGAGGAGGCGGATGGATCGTCCTAACCAATAACAAAAGGGGCCATGATCACCAACGCACGACAAACTAGTAGTAGTATTCTTCCCTTGTAAACTACTAAAATACTCCGTGGATTCTTTTGAAAATAAGGTAATTGTCAAGGTTTATCTAATAATATCATGAATTTGTATCTTAGCAACGAATCAGGAAATATAATAATTAACTTTATCCTCATTGTTTGATGCTGACACGTCGGTCTCTTTTGAAATACCCTCTTATTTTTAGACATTGTTTCAAAAGATTCTTTAAATAAATTAAGTTTCCAAATTGGCAATTTGGATTATATTTTTTACAAACATTTTTGCTAATGATACGATAAATTTGAGGTAAAAATAATTAAAACATATTTTAAAATATTTTTCCAAGTACCGTCCAAATAATACATATAGATGAATTTCTCAACAAAGTGCTATGGTAATAATATTTTCCTACTACTATCTCCCGCAAAAAAAAAAAAAAAAAAGCAATCCCAATAGAGCTAAAACGAGTGGAATAATCGTTGTAAGTAAAAATAGTTATTCCATGTCCAAAGGTAAGCCAATAAATGAAACAAGACAAGGATAATAATTTGATGCAATTTAATCCGTATATTAACACAAGTGTTTGCATGAGTTAACCCGTTAAACAACCCTGACTATGATTTCCCCCCGCGGCTTTTAATGGTTAAAAACAATGCGGGGTAGCATGCGAAAAAGATGACTTTCTAGTGTCATACATTTATTAGACAAGGATTGACACTATAACGATTAACGAGTACAAACTACAAACTCCCCGGTCGGTATCTTCGGACAGGTTTGGTGTTAGCGCATGCAACCACTAAAAAAAAATAAAAAAAAAAAATTGAACATCTCATTCATCTATCTTAATAATTTCCCATGTTAATATCAATAGGAAAATGACTAGACCTGCGTATGTGTATGCATGAATTAGGAGAAGCGAGAAAATAATAATAAAATATAGGCCTGCGTCCATTGGATAGTCGTTAAAATATATTTCGAGTGTCAGATTTTTTTTAAAAGGTAAGGTTATTAATTAGAAAAAAGTGTATAAATACAAAAAAAAAGATAGTACTAATTGTTATATGTAATAGATTTAGTAGAATTTAAGGGCATTAAAGAGATTATACATTGAGCACTCGTTAAAACAAAAAACAAAAAAAAAAAACCCTGGCTGGCCTAAAGGAGATCGATCATGAGACCCTACTAGGGCTGCAAACGAATCGAACCGCTCGCGAGCCGCTCGAGTCAAGCTCGAGTCGAGCTCGATGTTAATCGAACTCGAGTCGAGCTCGAGCTCAGAATATTAAGCTCGTTAGCTCGCGAGCCGGCTCGCGAGCTTGGGTATATATATATATTTTTTTTTATTTTTATTTTTATTTAATAATAAAATTACGTATATTATATATATTTTTTATTTTTTATTTTCATAGTAAAATTACGTATATGTCCTTAATATTTTATTATTTATTAAGAAAAAAATATTATTTTATTTATTTATTTTTTAATAAAATATTTATTTTTTATTTTTTTTCGAGCTCGAGCTCGAAATTTGCCGGCTGGTCGAGCTCGAGTTCGGTAAAATTTAGTCGAGACTCGGCTCGATTAGATCAAAGGTCGACTCGCCTCGGCTCGTTTGCAGCCCTAGACCCTACAAGTGGGAATCTTACCAAAATTTCAAGGTGAAGAGAAGAATAAATACTACTAGTACGTTTATACTAATTGAATCAGCAATACAAAAGCTGATGGGCTGATGGGGAAGAGGGAAGATATATGCCACATGCGTGTGGTGGAGAATGTGGAAAACTGCTTAATAATTCTCCCTCCCATCCTTGCCACCTTATCAGATGCAATCTTTTAGCAAATTGTGCTTTGAATTGACCCTCTCCTCTCTCTCTCTCTCTCCTATCACCTTAGAAAGCTCTCTTTTACGACTTAAAAAGCTTGACACTGACCGCAACGCTTATTGTGGATTTGGCCCTCATTTGGGTGATTATTCAGTGGACACGGCATCTCGTCCTTTCTCTGTCACACACTTCCTTTCGTTTCTTTCTTTCTGGTTTTTACTTTCTTTTTTTTTTTTGTGTGGGGGGGGGGGGGGCGGAAGGGGGGCTTAGTTGGCTGGAGAGCAGTATCCTAGTTAGTTTATCACTTCTAACCTTAAATCGTCACAAGCTGTCTTTAATACAATGAATTAAACAATCACTAATAACTGCCATGAATAATTGTACAACGGAACTCCAGGTAGAATTTGCTCAACATTCCAACAAATAGAGACAGGGTAGTACTAGTAGTAGTAGTTACATTACATACAACCTTCAAATTCACTTCCACCACAATTTATTTAATAATAATCAGTACATACATCTGTGTGTGAAATGATTGACATTAATATGAGTCGTATAAACAGGTCAATTTGAAACATTAGTTTTACCTTTACAACAGTCAACATTACAAATTTCGCATCACGTTAAATCATCTACTCAACCTTTCATCACCATTCTCTCAAAAAAAAAAAAAAAAAAAAACCTTTCGTGACCATATTTAATATTATAATATACTCCGTCCGTTCCACTTTGATAGTCCTGTATTCTTCCACTTTAATAGTCCTGTATTCTTTTTTCATCTGTCTCAAATTATAGTCCACTTTCCAATTGAAGAATGGTTGTATTTTAATTTTTCTAAAATACCATTATTCAATATAAGTAGTTGTTACTATAATCTACCCCATTTAATGAGAGTTGATTCTCTTTTTACCATCAAATCAAGTTTTCATAAAGTTATATCATATTTAATGTGAGGATATTTTAGAAAAGTAACAATCTAAATTTACTTTTCCAACAAAATTAACTATTTTTTCTTAAACTGTATGAAAAAAAAGAAACAGACTATTAAAATGGGACGGAGGGAGTAATATAATGCCCGCCCATATCTATGCAGACAGACTGTACCTCTCCTCCTCCTCTCCTCACCAATTAATGCTCCCCAACCCACATACACACGCATATATGTGTATATATGTATGTATTGGTGAAAACAGCTTCGCCATTCACAAATTGGGATGTTGATGATGATCAGGCCGCGGTGAGGTGTCTGCTGCAATTATTAAATTTTTGATCGGCCCCAATTTCCATCTAGCAGAAAAAGGTTACATGACCATAATAGTACTACTGGAATTTTAGTAGTATGTCTGAAAAGAAGATCTTTCTGATCTTTTCAGAAAGGGCAAAAAAAAAAAAAAAAAAAAGTTTTAACAGAATCTATACTCTCTCCATGTGTTTGTCCACTCCTCGCAATCTTGGGCCCCTCCATCCAACAACGCCACCACAACAAAGTCTCTCAAATCAGCTAAAAGCTCCCCCCCCCCCCCCCCAATCACCTCTCCTGGGGCACCAATAAATAATTGGAATTCCTCTGAATTTTACACTCTTGCCAATTTGTTTATTTTCCTCCCCAGTTTCCCTCATTAAAAAATCGGGGATTTTTTTTAAAAAAAAAACAAATCTCACGACCCATATTTTTGTTTTGTTTTTTCCTTCCTTTTTCTGTTGGGATTTTGTTAACTAGTAATAGCAGCTTTGGCGGGTGATGCCAACGCCGGTCGGCACAGCGAGGCAATGCTTGACGGAGGAGGCAGCGCGTGCACTGGACGATGCTGTCACCGTGGCGAGGCGGCGGAGCCACGCGCAGACGACTTCACTACACGCCGTCTCAGCACTTTTAGCTCTCCCGTCCTCCACCCTCCGCGAGGCCTGTGCACGCGCCAGGAGCAGCGCCTACTCCCCACGATTGCAGTTCCGAGCTCTGGAGCTCTCCGTCGGCGTTTCCCTCGACCGGTTGCCCACGACTAAACTCAAGACGAGCCGCCGATATCCAACTCGCTAATGACCGCCATCAAAAGATCCCAAGCCAATCAAAGAAGACACCCCGAAACTTTTCACCTTTATCAGCAGTTGCAGCACCAGAATAATATTATTAATTGTAGTAACACTAGCTCGTCATCTCCACCCTCGATTTCGACCGTCAAAGTGGAACTAAAGCATTTTATACTGTCAATTCTTGATGACCCCATTGTCAGCAAGGTTTTTGGGGAGGCCGGCTTTCGGAGCTTCGATATAAAGATGGCAATTTTAAATCCCCCCAATGTTTCGAGGTACTCGAAAGCTCGGTGCCCACCTCTTTTCTTGTGTAATTTGAGTGATTTAGAGCTAAGTAAACGTGGGTTTAGCTTCCCTTTTTCTGGGGCTCTGGCAAGTGATAGTTTGGATGAGAATTCTCGGAGGATTGGTGAGGTTCTTGTGAAAAAGACTGGGAAAAATCCGTTATTGGTTGGGGTTTGTGCTGATGGTGCGCTTCATGATTTCACAGATGTTGTCAACAAAGGTAAAGTTGGAATCTTGGGAGAGAAATTGATGGGTTAGGTGTCGTTTGTTTGGAAAAGGAGATATCCGAGTTTTTGCAGGCGGGTGGGAATGAGGAAATGATGAGGTTTAAGTTTAAGGAAGTCGATGATTTAGTTAAGGCTAATAAAGGAAATGGTTTACTTGTTAGCTATGGTGAGTTGAAGGCTTTTGTGGGCGATGAGGAATCTGGGGAGGCAGTGAACTACGTCGTTTCTCAATTAAGTAGATTGGTGGAGGTTCACTGTGGGAAGTTATGGTTAATCGGATGTGCGGCTAGTTATGATACTTATATGAAGCTTTTAGGTCGGTTTCCATCAATTGAGAAAGATTGGGATTTGCATTTGGTGCCTATTACTTCATCCAAACCTCTGGTGGGAGGAGTCTACTCCAGACCCGGGTTAGTGTTCAGTCCTCGTGTTTTGGTTTTGTTCTAAACTTTTCTGTTTCCCATGTCTTGTTATGCAGGATGTGTTATCGTGTTATATTTGAATGGGATAAGGCTGCAAATTGTTTGATTAGTTTATTAGCTGCATAGTATTTTAATATGAGTATACACAATTGGATGGTAGAAGAGGGTTGATTAAAGAAATCGGTGCGCTGTAAGCAATCTGCAGTACTATATAGCTGGAACAATATTACCTTTCAGGGTGGCATTTGTTTGTTACTTTGTCGAATGGATTTGTCATCACAGATAGCATGTACGGTTGTTTGTCGATTATAGGGATTATTAATCTGTACAAAGGACTACATATTTTAATCAACAAAATTTCTTCAAGTTTTGCCCCTTTTCTTTTCCATGTAGAACATTTGTTTGCTACCATGCCATATCATTCTTTTATGTTGCAACTTTTTCAAATTAACAAGCGGAGTAGTCTGTTTAATTGCAGGTTGAAGGTAGCTACTTGGATCCTTGATAATGAATCCTTTGATTGAAAACTGGATCTTATGTTGTGATTTACGATTTCTAGCGTATGGTATTAATATCCTTACTTTTGAATTGAACAAAATAGGGTGGGAGGATCTAAATATAGAAGTACATGTCTTGATCTATCATTGCTGTAAAGTGTTAATGCTTTGTTGTGGTTTTTTCTTTCCATTTTTGGGAATTTTGAATTTATTGCCTATCTTTAGAATTCAAACATGGAGAGAAAAGTAATTTGAGATGATTCTTAAATGTATTTCTAGTATTTGATAGGTCAAATATCTAAAAATCCAATAAAAGTCAGCAATGTAGGTAAGAAAGTGAGGTATCTCAATAAAGATAAAGTTGCAGTTCTAGTTGGAGTAAGAAGAGGAGTTTGAGATTTCTCAAGTAAAAAGTACATGTATCACAGAACTTACATTCATGCAGAGGTGCATGTCCAACTTTTGAAGCAGCTGATAGTATTGAACTCCAATGAATCCTCTCCTTCTGGTTTTTGTTATCTATACCCTCTGTTGAATGTGTAAAATTTCCACACTGTAAAATGCAAGAGTTCATGTGAAACCCACCCTCGATGTGCTTGATATTTTCAATAATCATCTAGATGGTAAAAGGGCTAACCAAGGTTTAGATTGTCCTGACAGATTGCTATCATAAGTAGGTGTTGTTCCTAAAAGTGCTTTGAACTAAGAAAGAATTTTACAAGTTTTTTTTGATCTTTCTATTGTTGTCAGAACTTATTTAGCTGTGAAGCTAGGTGGCGGGGTTTAGTAATGGTGATTTTCTTTCTTCTATGGGTCATTGGTCAAGCTCAAAAGTGATCCCTTATTGCAATTTCTTATGCAGCCTCTGCTGAGATTCTCAGACCTTGTTGGTTTCCTTGCCAATCTTTTATTCATTCTTATTAAATGAGTTTAGTTTATGGATGGCAGACCACTTAAATTTTGCAACTAACTTCAATTAAGAAAGAAACGTGAGGAGAAAGAAAAAGAAAAGAAAAAATGCTTGCGTAATATATTCATCTTGGCTTCTGACTTATCTTCATTCGATCTGACAGTTGGGTGCTCACATACTTGCAGCTTGATGGGGTCATTTGTCCCATTTGGTGGCTTTTTCTCTACACCATCTGATTATGAAAATCCATGGAGTATCAAGAATCAACCCATGGGTCGGTGCAACGTATGCAATCAAAAGTGTGAAGTAGAAGCATCTGTCATACAGAAAGGAGGATCCGCTATTTCAGTTGCTGATCAATGCTCAGCAAATCTATCTCCTTGGCTGCAGATTATGGAGCGTGACAAAAACAAGAGATTGGGTGTAGAAGAGGTGTGATGCTCCTTCAAATCCTCCTCTTAATTCAGCTTGGGAAAAGCTACAAAAGTTTGCAATTCAAATAGTTCGTCAGTTGAATATTTTCATAAACATGTTCCTGTTATTTCAGTGCAGGCCAAAGATGATAGAACAGATTTGAATGCCAAGCTATTGGCCCTCGAAAAAAAGTGGAATGATATATGCAAGCATCTTCATCAGACAATGTCATTCCAGCAAAATATTTCAGAGGCCAGGTCGCAAGTTCCAAAAGCTGATACCCTTCAGTTTGTTTCTGCTAGGAGTGAGAGCAGTATTACAGATTCACTGCTTGATGAGAGAAAACCTGCAAAACCAAATTCTTGCATGCCCTTGGACTTGCAACCACCTCCCTGCCAAAATTGAACATTGTAAAGCAAATTCCTCATGATGCTTTTGCTGATTCCCCAGCAGAATCACCAGCGCAGGGATTGAAGACGGGAAATTTTTTAAACCCATATAGTACTTTCCACAATTTAGGCATTGCCCTGGATCAAACAACATCATCGTCTATAACCTCTGTTACAACAGATTTGGGGCTTGGAACCCTTTACACATCTGCTTTGGAAGAGCCTACTAAACCAATATTTCAAGAGTATAAAGATTGCCTTGACAATTCAGGTTCAGTTTCTGCTAATACATCTAGTGAGAACACCTCGAATCATGTTGCCCAATCTTCTCCCTGCTCTGTGCCTCCATCAGATGGAAATGATTTCAAGAACATTTGGAGGGTTCTTTCTGAAAAAGTTGGTTGGCAAGATAAGGCTGTTTATGCCATTCACCAAACTGTGGCTTCTTGCAGAAATGGGCATGGAAAAAGACTTGGTTCGAACAAAGGAAATATTTGGCTCAGCTTTCTTGGACCAGACAAGGTGGGAAAGAGAAGAATTGCTGCTGCACTTGCTGAGGCAATTTTTGGCCGCAGAGAAAGCTTGTTTCAAGTTGACCTTTGCTTCATAGATAAAGTTAGACGCTCAAACACTATTTTTGACCGTGAAGATCTGAAAGGTTGTGAGCTAAACTTTAGGGAAAGACCATGGTTGACTACATTGCCGAGGAGCTGAGCAAGAAGTCTCATTCAGTCGTGCTCTTGGAGAACATAGATAAGGCTGATTTCCTTCTTCAGAACAGTTTGTCTCAAGCTATCAGAACTAACAAGTTTCCAAACTCCCATGGGAGAGAAATCAGTTTGAACAATATGATTTTTGTGTTTACTTCAAGGGTTTCAAAAGGCTGTGATGGCTTCCTCTCTGGGCAGACATCCACTGAGTTCTCAGAAGAAAGAATTCTGGCAGCCAAAGACGTGCAAATGCAAATTTCAGTTGGATGTGATTCTGCAGATGTGGTCAGAGTTAAAAGTACAAATTTAATGATCACTTCAAAAAAACAATCAGCCTCTCTATCTGCAGGTAAAAGAAAGTTGATTGATGATCTTGAATCTGCTGAAAACAGGATGCTGCCAGTACCAAAACGCAAGCCCGAAGCTACAAGGTCGTCTTTTGATTTAAATATGCCTGTGGAGGAGATGGAACAAGACAATGATTGTAATAGCAGTGACTATGACTCTGGCTCTGAGAATACAAAGGGGTGGTTGGAAGATTTCTTGGACCAAATGGATGAAAATGTGGCCTTCAAGCCTTTCGATTTTGATGCTCTTGCTCAGAAAGTTTTGAAGGAAATCAGCCTAGGATTCCAGAAGATAGTTGGATCTAACTTTCGCCTGGAGATTGAGTCAGAAATAGTGGTGCAGATACTTGCAGCTGCTTGGTTATCAGAGAGAAAGAAAGCTGTGGAGGATTGGATTGAAGGAGTTCTCTGTACGAGCTTTACGGAAGCCTTACAAAGGTGCACCCGTACCCCTGTTGCTGTAAATGTGATGAAGTTAATTGCTTGTGAAGATCTCCTTGTGGAAGACCATAGTGCTTTAATCCGGCTTCCCTCGAGACTAACTATAAGTTGATCTTTTCCCTTGATTGGGTAGGTTTGCATGTAATTGATGAATGTATATGAATGGTTATGTAATTAGTATCCTGGCCTTGTTTTCGGAGGTGCGATGTAATTTTCTGAGTCCACTTTTGTTGATTAGTGTATAATTGGATAGCTAATCAATAGAAAATTTTACTCCATTTATGAATGTGATTTTTCTTGAGATAGCTTTTTCTGACCTTCTTGTCCTTGCCAGCCACGGAACTCCCATGTTTTTCGCAGACCTTTCTAGCAACAGAATCTATCCATATCATTTATATGTGGCGTTCCCAATGCTTTTGTGTAGAGTATAATAATTACAAGGCAACAATGCGTGGGCTTCTTGCTTTTTCTGCAGAGTCAACTCTATGGAACCAGCATCTTGTTTTGCCCTGCCCCACAATCGGTTGTCAGATATCGTCGAGACTTTCCATTTCGAGAGTAGCGGCATGACTGGGCATGTTTGACGGACGAGTTTTTTACGAAGTTTATTTGTCATAAATTTTTTAAAAATTTTAGTTATAGTAAATTCAAAAGATTTCTCAAAAATTTTTAATTATACACTTCAAAATGTTTAAAAATTTATAAGTTTTAAAAATTTTTACAGCAAATTATAGTAAAATTTCAGATAAATACTAAAAAAACTCAATTGTCAAACGGGCCAATATTTCTGGACGGCCCAGTCAGCTTATTGTTGATAATTGACAAGCAAGTGATCTAAGTCTAATTGGGCCAGCCCAGTATTCTTAGAATGTTGCCATTGACCAGGCTTCTTTGTTTCTTGGAGTTTCTTCCATTGTGTTTTTTTTTTTTTTTTAATTATTATTTATCAATTATCAAACCATCTACTCCTACTCCTACTCTAACAATATTTAAGGGAGTGACCAAATAAATCAAAGAGACTAAACCACCGTCGAATCATATGAGAATTGAACCGCCATCGCACCCATATGGACATACAGTTGCCTCATAATTTTTGAAAATTTGGCATTCTAAAAAAGGGAAGGATTAGAAGGGATTAAATATTCATAAAATCCCATGATTTAATTGGTTCTAGATAGGTCAGATTGTCAACTAAAGTATTTCTTGTGACTGATACAATTATTTTGACGTAACTTATATATTTAAAGTTATACAAATATCCTCTTAATTTTTTTTAAAGAAAAAGGAACACGAAGGTACCCGAAAAATAATTTACTAGAAAAAAAAATACCAAAAAAAAATCAGAGAGAACGAGACTTTCTAGACGGGTGTGACCGCCGGATGTCACGTACTAAACTGAGACAGTCATACGATACAACTTGTCGATGGCTTCAACGCTGTCGAATTGAGCATTACTATTTTTGAAAAGCGGATGACTTGTTTCTTAAAGTAACTGAGCGCGGTGAAATCATCCGAAGACAGACAAATAAATGCTCTCCACGTCAGGGAAGTGTACGTAAGTCAGCGAGATCACATGTAAGCCTAGAGGGATTGAGCTAAAATTCTAACAGGTACGTCCACGTCATTGAATGCAAGTCGAGTACGAACACAAACCATGACTCAAAAGGGGTCCCAATCCGGCCGGTTTTTTTATTTTATTTATTAAGAGTGATAATTACACATGGCACTCAAGCACCACAAAGACGGGTAGTCCCCATAATGTCCCGCGGAACTATAAATGTGAGGGAGAAATTGCAACTGTGGTCCTTAAGTTTTGGACTAGTTTGAGATCATCCCTTTAAATTATCACATATTTAGTTCCATATCCATTGTACTTAAAAAAAAAAAAAATTGTACCATTTACAATCACACTGTTTTTATAAATACTATAACTCACAATGGTTTATCGATAACAATTTTTTCCACCTCCCATCCCTTCCTGTACATTTTTACCCTTATCTATCAAATATAAGATTTGAATATTAAACTGTGAAAATGAATCCTAAGAGTCTTTTTGTAACCACTGAACCAATCTCAATGTTATATCATTGTACTTGTTTCAATTAATTTTTAACTAATTTTTATTCACTTATAAACATTTCATTCTTTATAATGTGAGTCAAATATTTATTATTTCAATGTTCTCAACTAATAAACTTTAAAAAGATAAGAGACTAATAATCAATATTGAAAGTTTAAGGTCATCTTAATATATGATATTTAGGACTAATCCAACTAAAAATAATTTAAAACAAAGAAGAAAATTTTTAAAAAAATTCCTTGAATAGTAGATTCGTTGGAGTCATTAAAAAAAAAATATCACTTTTGTCTATAAAGTCGCAAATACAAATAGCAACGTGCAGAAGTAAGAATGTTATAAGGAAAACTTAAGAGACTAATTAAGAGAGGATTTAAAACGTAAGGGCCCCAAAGTAAATATGCGTTCAAATTTGCATTTCATCGCATTTGAATGTGCATTTCATTTCCGGAAAATCGGAGGTGGTGTAACTGGATTAGGTTGATTGGAAACGAAATGGAAGGTTAATAGTACCGGTACTACATTGGTAGGCTCGTCTTTTTGACTCCAAAACAAAAACGACGAAAGGGGAGACATACGAAAAACAATGGAAAGAAAAGTCTTTCTCTCTCCTTCTCTCTCTCTCTCAAATATTTTCTATTCCTATTTATTTATTAATTATTTTAGGCCATTCCTTTCTCTCTAGCTTTCCCTCTCAATGCTGTGTAGTTAAAGAGGGGCTGCTGGCTGCCTGCGTTAATAGCAAAGATCAAGTTGTAGTGGTTTTTCTTCTCATTTTCTCTTCTAAGGGAAAACTGGGTTTTCAGAAATTTTCTTTTCTCTCTGCCAAAGTTTGAGGTATCTTCTCTTGCTCTGCTCTTTTCTATGTGTACTTTCTAGTTTGTATCATGGCTTACAGTTTACACGCATGAAATTTCACTTGATTTGTTTTGGTTTCCTCTTTCTGGGATTTTGGTTGTAAAGTGATAGTTATATCATTTTTTGCATTTCGTTGATGTTGTGTAGGCCAATTTTGCACATTAATTTTTGCTTATGTTCTATAAAGCTAGGCTTCTGGGTATAAAGATTGCAGCTTTGTTACTTAGAAATGCTATAATCGCCCCTTTGAAGTGATTTGGATGCATAATTTTTTTTCTCGGTTTAATTTGATCTTTTAATGATCTAATAGGGGATAATTTACCATATTGAAGGAACAGCTTTATACCTTTTTTTTTTTCTGTGTTTTGATTGCCTTTGTGCTGAAAAATTTGAAGTTTGTGTGGCTAATTTTGCTCTCTGACTATTTTGCAGAGAGAGGACAGAGTTGAATATAAACATGTGCAACGGTTCCAAGAGGAAAGATTGTGCTCTTGATTTGGCCATGGGGGATTTTGCCTCTAGTTCTTCAGAGTTGCTCGAGTTCTCAGCATCTGATGATCTTTCTGCCTTTATGGTTGCTGTGGAAAGGAGGGACATGGTATTGATGAGTTGGCTGTGTGGTATGGTCGAAGAATTGGTTCAAAGGAGATGGGGCTCGAGGAGAGGACACCTCTCATGATCGCTTCTATGTTTGGCAGCAAAAGGGTTGTCAATTACATCCTGGAAAAAGGTGGGATTGATGTCAACAAAACTTGTGGTTCTGATGGTGCTACTGCCCTCCATTGCGCTGCTGCGGGTGTTCTGCTGCTTCACTTGAGATTGTCAGGCTTTTGATTGATGCTTCTGCTGATGTAAATTCTGTTGATGCTAATGGAAAGCGGCCTGTCGACTTGATTGCTCCATTTCAGAATTCTTCCTTTAATTTGAGGAGTAAGGCTCTGGAGGTGATATTGAATGGCGGAAATTATACCGAAGGAGCCTCAGAATCAGATGATCGACCCACTGAACGAGAAGATGGGCGGGTGTCCCCACCTTTGCCCTCTAAAGATGGAATGGAGAAGAAAGAGTATCCTGTTGATCCCTCTCTTCCTGACATAAAGAATGGTATATACGGGACGGATGAGTTTAGGATGTATACATTTAAGATCAAGCCTTGCTCGAGGGCCTACTCGCACGACTGGACTGAATGTCCTTTGTTCACCCTGGTGAAAATGCTAGGCGGCGTGATCCAAGAAAGTATCATTACAGCTGTGTTCCTTGCCCTGATTTTCGCAAGGCTACATGCAGAGGGGAGACGCATGTGAATATGCACATGGAATTTTTGAGTGCTGGCTTCACCCTGCCCAATATCGTACTCGTCTGTGCAAGGACGAGACTAATTGTACAAGAAGGGTATGTTTCTTTGCCACAAACCTGAAGAGTTACGACCCCTGTATGCTTCCTGGTTCAGCAGTGCCTTCCCCTAGATCATTCTCTTCCAGCGCTTCGACGTTTGATATTGCATCAATCAGCCCACTCGCCCTTGGTTCTCCTTCTATCATGATGCCTCCAACCTCAACACCGCCGATGACTCCTTCTGGAGCCTCTTCCCTATTGGTGGATCTATGTGGCCAAACCAGCCACCCTTGCACCTCCAACCCTGCAGTTGCCCGGCAGCAGGTTGAAAGCTGCCATAAATGCTAGAGATATTGATTTCGATGCTGAACTACTTGGTCTAGATGGTAATCGTCAGTGGCGCCAGCAGTTGTTGGATGACTTGTCTAGCCTTTCTTCGCCATCTAGCCGGAACCATGGATTAGGCACACCTGGAGCGTTTGCTGCTTCCTCTGTCGAGCAAAATAGTGATGGGATTAGGCATGGTGGCTTGAAACCCACTAATCTTGATGATGTTTTTGGAAGTCTTGATTCCACAATTTTGTCTCAGTTGCAGGGGCTATCCACAGATGCTGGTTTAAATCAGCTGCTTTCTCCAACGGCTCATCAGATGCGGCAAAATATGAATCAGCAGCTTCGATCAAGCTACCCATCTAACCTCGCGTCATCCTCAATTAGGACATCATCTGCATTTGAATGGATCCATCTGGGTCTACGGCTACAGTTCTGAATCCGCGGTCTGCTGCGTTTGCAAAGCGGAGCCAGAGTTTCATTGATCGTAGTGCAGTAAACCGTCACTCTGGGATTTCTTCACCCATTTCTTCTGCATCCATGATGCTGTCACCCTTTTCAGACTGGAGCTCCCTGATGGAAAATTGGACTGGGTATCCAGAGAGAAGAGATTAACAAGTTAAGGAAATCTGCTTCTTTTGGGTTCAGAATAGTGGCGGCAATTTTGTGTCAACTGCAGCTCTAGGTCAACAGCTGCTAATAAGCCGG